GAAAGCAAGGATTACTGTTCCACCAGGGAAAAAAAAGCAGCCCAAACCTCTATTAAAGAATTAAAAGACCTAAAGAATTGAGGATTTCATTGTAAGCTCACCATGACACACAGACTAAAAGGCTTCCAGTTTCATAGAGTATGCATGCTGACATGCATGGTGGATACCAGAAACAAAGTAGTGAATTTGCCACCAGAGCTTGCACCAGATGGCTAAATTCAAAGCTTCACAGTTCTAAGTGTGTGATGACAGGCTGCCATGGTAGGCGGCTGCAATTTCTGTTCTCTGCTTTAAGAACATGTGACGATAATCAGGGGGTCCAGTTTAAAACCTTTTACATAGAGGGGGGCATCCTTGTTACTACAGAATTTTGAAACAAGCCGTCAGGGGGAAACAGTGATTTACAGTATGTGCTCATCATTCCACCTCATTTAAATCAAGGAATATGCATTCTAATTGGAAATCCCATAAAGGATTTTTAAGATACAGTCATCCTTATGTTGCGGACTAGTGGGAACAAACAACTGTCCTAGTGCCACATACTTAGAGGGTGCACTTTAGCATGATAAGCAGGATGGTGCTGAAATCAGTGACAAGATTAAAATCATTGTGTTTTTCTCTTTTTTAGTCACCCACACTTGTGCTTAAGCATGACTCACTTAGGGTGCATGTGAAGAGTTCTCTGTGTGACTGAGCAAAAGATGAATCACACTCAGAAGCTGAGGTCCTGTTCAATTGCGTAGCAAGTTGTCGGTTTGACTATTTGTGATCTCAGTGTACTGTTATTGACGTGTATATGAGAAAGAGTGCTGTTGATTTTTTTTTTTTCATGTACTCTTGCTGCTTACACTTAGTCTGGTGATGCAGTCATGGAGTAGAATTCCTCTGCTTTTACCTTTTTGCCTTTTGTAAACATTAGTAATACTATGGTGTGTTGTGTTATCTTACACCAAACAGTCCCATTAGCAGTTTATGTTTATTTCTTAAATAATACGTTTAGATTTTTAAGTTTTGTTGCTTTTTATTTAGTCAAATATTCAACCCCATATGATAAGACTTTGGGTTAAAACAGAAAATAGTGATGTCTAAATCATCTGTGTCCTGAATTACATTGAAAAGGGAGGCAACAGTGCGGTGGGTAGAGCAGTCGGAAGGCTGTACCAAAAACAAATTCCTTGCGTGTAACATACTTGGCCAATAAAGGTGATTATCCGATTATACTTATCCTAAAACAATACAGCAGCATATTATTTGATATGATGCCTCATCGATTTTATTCTTTGTTCAAAATAAATGCTCACTTAAATTCTGATGCCTCCAATAAAATCCAAAAAAAAGTTGCATTTAGAGCAAGTAATGAAATGAAATGAAATAAGTGATGTTAACAGGTGATTGCAATCATGATTTGGTACAAAAGTGGCTCGGAGGCATCAGGGATGGACCATCACACAATGGAAATGTGTACTGTGGTCAGAGAATCCGTATTTCAGGTCTTTTTGGGAAGGAATGGGCGGAGTGTGCTCCGGGCCAAAGACGAAAGGGACCATCCAGACCGTTAGCAGCAAAAAGTCCAAAAGCCAGGGTCTGTCATGGTCTGAGGCTGTGTCAGTGCCCTTGGCAAAGGGAACTTACACCTCTGTGATGGCTCCATTAATGCTGACAAATACATAAAGAGTTTGGAGCAACATATGTCAATGAGTGCAGACTGGCCTGCCTGCAGTCCTGACCTGTTCCCAGTAGAGAATGTGTGGTGCATTCTGAAACACTAATTATGTCAACAAAGACCCAGGACTGTTACACACCTAAAGACTTTTTTGCCGGAGGAATGGGACTAAATGACACCTGACACATTTAATTACTTGGTGTCCTCAGTCCTTAAACATCTTAAGTGTTGTGAAAAGGAACGGCAACATCACAGCGTGGTAAGTGCTTTACAGGCATCCGAATTAAAGTGAGTGTTTATTTTGAACAAAGAATAAAATCAACGAGGTATCACATCAAATAACGTGCCGCTGTATTGTTTTCTATGTAGCACAGGACACAGATTATTTACAAATCACTACTTTCAGTTTTAATTTCAATTTCCCAACTTTTTTTGATTTGGGGTTGTAGAAACAATTGCAACTGAAGTTTTTGGTGGCTTTAAAAGCAGTTAAAGTGATATAAAGTATTTACATTATTCTAAAGGGGACCACTACTCCCACAACAACTGCAGCTCTTGCAGATTTTTTCAGTGTCTGGCAAATGCAGTGTTAGCAGTGCAAGGATGAATAAAAACTTAATGTGTGAGCAGAATTCATTATTTAAGGTATAACATGACCTCTTAAATGGTACTGACATTTATCTCCTCTGCAATATCTGTGAAATGCACTGTTACCTTTCTCTTTTTCTCCCTGCTTGTAATGTCTGTTTGCTGACCTTCTTGCTGTCACTTTCTGCATGAGTCGTCAGTCTAAAGAAATGCATTTATCAGTCATTTTATATAGTTTTTATATAATGCTGCCCTCTAGCCACTGTTGTAATTAGCATAGCAGTTTGATAAA